GGGAGTTTCTTCGCAACATCCCTAACCCGGGCCCCAGGGAGGCAGCAGACTTCCCTGTGGGATGGGTCCGGTTGGCAGATCGGGCCCTCTGTTCCCCTCAGAAGGGAATCACCTATGACAATGACCCACCTTTTTTTCTTAGCTGAGGCAGTTGTAATACTAGTGTTGAAAACGCTGCATGCTTTTGCAATTGCAGGCACCCATTAAATGTTTGAAATCCAGATGGATCTACAGAAACACAACTCAAGTAGCACAAAAGTGTTGTATCAAAATTAAATACCACATAAATTAAGTCAGAGCCCAAAAGCTGGTGTTTGACAGGAGGAGATCAGGACAGGTCAGGGATATTATCAGTACCTTGGGTCTCTGCAGTAGCAGGAAGCTTGTTGGGATCAGCTACAGAGTTGTAGCTTTGAGATAAATCCTAAATGAGGCATCAAAACCACCTTGTTTCAGAGATAGTATTATAGTTATTCAGCTGTGGGTGTCCTCATCATGTGAGATGATAAATAACTGAAATGGAGAAAGGATTTAAACATAAGCGGTGGTACATCTCCTGCGGGGGTCCTTGTGGACCAAGCTTCAGTAGCATCCTTCAGATGGTGCTGTTTTGGAGTGGAGGTATATTCTCAGAATGTAGACTTGGAAAATCAGCTTGCTCTGAAAGCATAAGTTTCTTCCTCACTCCCCCAGGATACTATTTAAACTAATGTTTTTGGTGCTTGTATTCCTCTTTCTGCATGTAGGGTAAGGTAAGTCAGGTCTTTGAGTTAGAAATTAAATTGCTTGGATAGTCTTTGGACATCTTGAATCTGCCTTCTATGTGTTTAAACATAGTTTACAACTGTAACTATACAAAATGAGTAGCTAATATATTTAACAATTGTTATAGGCTATTTTTGTGCTTATCCTGGAAAGCTCCTTCTGGTTGTAAGTCTTTCTGGGTTTTTTCTTTTTTTCATCTGAATTATCATATCTTATATAACTGTATAAAATGTTTATCTAGATCACTAGAAAATAGTGATATATGTCATTGATACTATATTACTGCTAATGTATTTATTTTTAAATTGCTTTTACTATAAAAGAACACTTTTTCTTCTGAAATAACTACAATCTGCAGTATTATCTGAATTATTCTAATTTACCTACAGTATCAAGTACACAAGAGTCTGGAATTCAGAGTACAGTTGGAAATCACAGAAGCATGAAAAGGAATGATTCTGGTGAAAATTCTTCTACTGGTACCAGACATTTGCTTGGGTAATGGCTTGTTTTCTTATTTAATTTCTTAAAACATCATTTAAACAAAAACTACATGCATACTACAGTGTTTTTTTTTCTTTTTTCCATGCCTACAGGGAGGAGAAATCACAGGAATTCGATGCTCTAGTTAATTGCCACAATCCATTAAGACCACTAAACAAATCTAACCAGGTAGAACGTGTAACGTTTTACTTCAAAAAAATTTAAACTTTTCATTCTGCTTTGCACATCTGATAACTTTCAATTTGCTTTTAGGCCTGCTCTTTTGGGAGGGTTCCTGTTAAACTAGTGACTGATGATGATGATGATGATGTGAAGGCGGAGGATCTTCCACTTACAGCTAGTGTTATGAGAAGGTATTGTTATTGGGTTTACTGCAGCACAACAGATTTTAATAGTCCTTTTCAACAGAACATTTTTGTTGGATAGTGGAAATATAAATTAAGAATGTAAAGTCATTGTAACTGCACTAGCTATTGCAATAACCTACTTCCTGTCTTGCTACTCAGATTCTTTGTATGAGAGCATGCACAGATCAGTTTCTTGTTCTGGCTAATCGGTATCCTCAAAAGAAATGGAAGCTACTGCAAAATTGAGTTTTGTTGAAAATGACCTCATGTTTGTGTGTTCCAGTTCTTAAAATTAGACAGAAGGCAGTCTTCTAACTTCAAAAAGGTTTTTAAATACTTATTTTTAACATATTCCATATGATAATGATTATATTAAGAAAGTGGTTATGCTCATTTTATTTTGAATAACTGTTCAGCAGTAGAAGAATCTGCCAACTAAAATAGCACTTTGCTACATGTTACCTGACTGTAGCATAGCTTGAAAGTAAACAGAGGAGAAAAAGCTTTTTTTTGTCCCAATTAAGTCTGTTAACTTTCTTCCTCTCTTATTGCTGTATAATTAAATTTGTGCAGAAATAGGAACTTTGGGGAGAAATACGTAATTGAAGAGTAAAAATTGCATGCTTAGCATCTCAGAAGTTGTCTAAAGCCCAATATTCTGAATCTGTAAAAGTAGTGAGATAAGATGTTTCACATAGTAGTATTGTTCTGTAAGGAATTCAGAATTTACCTTGGAACACACTATCAGGGCTTAGGATCCTAGCTGTAGTTTATTACTGTTTTCTACGGAAGAAAACCAGTTAAGTCATCTGTCATTTCATAGGATGATGGTGGCATTGCTACAGATCTTTCGTATTGTTTCTCACTTGACTGTCAGAGTGGACCTGATTTTTCTGTATGTTTGAAACTTGTAGCTGAGAGTCTTCACACAACTGCTTTTTTTCTCATCTGGTTCGCGAAAGGCAATCATTACATTATATGTTGGCATGTGATGTAATTAACAATGTTATTTCAATAGGCAAATATCCAACTCCAAATGTACAGCCTTCATTGCACCTTTTCCGCTATCAGAATCAAAATCTAGTGGGGGTGATTCATGTGACCTGGGAGACTTACAGGTAACTTAATCTTTTTAAGATAGATATAAAGAGCTCTACCTGGCTGTCCTATGGTATTAGAAGGCAAAAGAAGAACACTTTTTTCAATTCAAGAAAGAAATAAAGTGGAATCTTGCTGCATGATAAGTAATCAGTTGTGAATAGAAACATTCACTGTGGCTTTTAAATTTCAAGTGTTATGCATAATCAGTCATTAAGAGCTTCCTCTGAACAACACATCTGATGGGAGAAATGGGGGTGTTAAAAATCTGTCACGTGATTTATAAAGAGGGGATAATCAAGTTTCATCTGGACTACAGGAGCTCTTTCAGCTGTAGTCATGAGTTTTATCATGGGAAGTACTCTATTCAATGAAGTCCATTTAACGGAGTTCATTAAGTACTCTATGGAGCTGTAAATTATGGGTTTTGATGAAGATTAATTTCAAACTATGCCTTGCATTTTTATGTACTGTTTCCATCCCCTCCAAAAGAAAATTCAAGAATAGAAACATTTAGGTCCTTGTTATAGGATCTGTATGACAGAAGTTTAGAGTGTTGATGGATGTAAAAATAGGATCAGTAACACTTGTCTGTGTACCCTGTGCTGTTTTCTGAAGCGTATCTCTTTGTGGTGCGTTGGTCATTAAATACCATAAGGAAGAGTCTTTTGGACACTATGCTAGGGATCACCGTTGATTTTTTTTTTTTTGAAGATACTTTTTTTCTTTAGTCCTGACAAGAAACAAAATTCTTTACAGTTGCAGATGTTGGATGAGAACAGCTTAGAAACAGCTACAAATTCAACTATAACTCTCAAAACCAAAATGGATACAAGTCTTGCAATGAAAAAAGGAGGTAACTATTAATATGTGGTGTTGTAGTAGTTTGAAATAGAATAAGCAGTAAAAATTTGCTCTTCTGTATTTAAAAAAAATGCATTGCTAAATAAAATATTCTTCAAAAAATGAAAAAGTTGGTCTGCCTGGAATTGAGCATTTAATTAAAATTTGGCTTGTCAGTGCTAGCTGTTAAAGTAGTAAAAAAAAAAAAAAAAAAAAAAAAAAAAAAAAAAACCCAAACAAACTAAACCCCACAACCCTCCCACTGCAATACTGTCCAATAGTGTGGAGTGCTGGGCTGGAAGTAAAATGCCAGTGTATAGTGCTAATTCCTTATGTCCTTAGGTCTTGCAACACACGTAACATGAACAGGCATTATAATGGCAACAATGCAAGGTTTCAGATTAAGACTTGCCAGCCAGAGTGTAGAAAAATGCTGCCAGTGTATCAGATAACAGTGGTAGTTTATACAAAAAAAAGTGAATGTTGCCTGAACAAAACTCAGCCTAAGTATTGTAATGTTCTTGAGGGGTAGTCTGTTTAGATTTTTTTGACAGACTCAAATTACAACACTTCTCCTGTGACTTTCCTTGTATATGCTCCTAGTTTACCTTATAGATGCCATACCTCTAATTTCTTTTGTTGAAATTTACTCTGAGCTTGTTTTGGCTGAAGTAAGCTTAAAAAGGTGAGACTGTGACATTTTCACTTGACAAAAGTGCAAAGCTCCTGCAGTTCTCTGAATGCAGAACATCTGTGTTGTCTGCTGCTTTCAGCACTCTTTCTGTCCTGTTTACCCATTAGTACCAGAAACTCGAGGTGGCTTTTTCTGCTGCTGTTTATGTATCGGAATCTATTTGTCAAATTATCTGAATTACTCGTTTCTGCTTTGGTCAGGCTTTTCTTGTCTTTTTCTTGGTTTCATCTGTTAAGTATCTGTTGTCTTTGGTCAGCTGCACTGCACTATGCACATTTACTTCTAAATGTTAAATTTATGTCACTTGGGGCATTTCTTAAATTGTATTGTAATATTTTTCTCACCTGAGTTTTACTATAGCGTATGCATGCATCTTGATCTTTGGGTAAAGTATAGAATAAATAAGTTTCTTTAATGTCATGGTTACTTTCTTATGAGGTTTCTCAGAAGTATGAAAACACTTTGTCAAAAGGCACATTGTTTGCCCCTTTTTTCTTATGTCCTGCAAAAAAATCTGAATTATTTTCACCGTTCTTTCCATACACCCACTGTAATCCAATTTGTGAACTTGTACTGCAGGAATCATTCATTCTCGTGAATGACACTTCTACGAAATAAATGTGTACTCTTTAGAGGCTTATTAAATTTCAGTGTCAATCAAATGCACTGTTATGCTTCTGATTACAGTAAATGCTCTTGCTTTAAACATGGTGTGTTTCAGCCTTAACTTTATTGTTCCTTATGCTCCTTGATTATCTGTAAAGATAGCACATAATAATGCTTCCGTGTCATTTTAGAAATTTTAGTTTTTTAAAGAAATGTAAGTTTTGCTAACATTTGAATGGCTGAGATTCTTATTGGATTATTAACATACTTTTGGGGAATGATTTTTAACACATTTTTAGAAGCAGACCTTTTTCGTGTGTTCCAGAAATGAATACTTAAGTAGAGCTTAGGTTATCTAATGCATGGAGTTTGACTATTGTCTGAAGTCACCTCACACCATAGAAATATGGGTGGTGTGATACCACCTTACATTGTGATCTTTCTGGGAAATGTTATAAACAACTTAGATTTATAGCAAATATTTCAGGGCTGGCAAAATTTTGAAGGATATTACTAATGACTTAGCACCAAGATTGTGTAATATGGAATACGTGTACTGATCCTTTACAGTTACTTGGCACTTCTGTGTTTCATCAGTATTTCCACAACATGCTGAAGAAATTAGGTGAAAATGCCCAAGAATATTGCAAGGGTTGGATTTAGGATTATATAAATACCCACCTATTGCAGGAAAGAAAAATATTTAGTTTGGAAAATGGTGATTTCTCAACTTAAGTGTCCCTCCAACTCCCAAGCAAAACCTTTCCCATTGACTTGCATTGGGAACAGTTTTGATTTCAGGTTGTGCTTTCCCTGTTTGTGCTTCATTCAACCTTCCAGACGGGAAGTCGTAGTAGCTCAGTCCTTCAGTAGCTGAATTGCACTCAACTTCTTTTTAGCATGGGATACTGCTTTCTAGTTGTTTGAAAAGAGAATTGAACAAGCCTGCGAGGGAACACTCTTAGGCTGTGCTATTTGTAGCCTGCCCTGCAATCTTACACCGATTCAATGTCCTATTACCCCTACAAAAGGAACCATGAGATAGAGCATGCCTTATCCCTTTATGCCTCCGGCTTCAGTCATTGCACTGGATTATGTTGTCAGACAGCAGACTTCTAGTTTGAAGTATTGCAATAAGCTTATCTTAAATGCTTTATAAACCTGCTCAGTGTCCCAAGATGTTGTAGTACAAATGACAAATATGATCTTGTTCTTATGTTGGTTAAGGAAACAGCTGTATCTTACTGTTAGAGTAGTATCCTAACATTTGAATAAAGCTGCCATGTTACTACACTGAACTGAATATGAATCCTGAAGATTGCATTAATTCCTGTTGATGCCTGATTCCAGTAAGTTAACTGTGTTCATTTATTCTGGTACAAAAAATGAAGTAAAAACTCTTCTAAAAACTGTGGGATAAATCTGCCAGAAACTGTTTCAAGTCTTTCTAATAAACTGATTTTTTTCAGAAAATAAAGTCCAGCATCAGGAGCTGAAGATATCAGAGCCAAGGAGTCTGGAAAGTCAAGAGCAACAATTCAGTTCTGGTGAAAGCTATAGAAAGCAGTTGGAACAGATTAGACTAAACTGTGTTAACGCCAGAAAAAAATGGCCAAGTCAAGAAGTGACACAGAAAAGCTGCTATAGAGAGGTAAAGTAACAGGAATATGTAGTGGTTTTCTAGCTGCAGCAGCTTTCAGATGTTGAAAAAGTGATTTCTGTCATCCTAATTGTGACTCCTTGTGTGGAATAATATCTTGCTTTGCCCTCCGTAGGGAAAACAATCAAGCCTTGAACAATCTGGTTATCCCGTTTCAAAAGGATTGTCACCACCAGATGCTGTTTCTAAGAAGAGTGATCTGTCACGTGTTTGTGGAACACCAAGCACCACATGTAATGATTATATGGACTGGTAAGCCACTTCTTTGAGCTGCACACTCATGAATCGCAGTTGATCTCTGGAAAGACTTCAGTGGTTTTTAGCGAGGTTTCTTAACCTTTTTTGTTCAGATAGCAAACAACATTTCCGAGCGCTTCCAACACTTGAAATCTAGTGCCTGTCTTTCAGATTCAGATTGCGTTTAGGGAACTCTGTCTTCCCTGTCAGCTTTTTGGCATTTGGAAGTACCCCATCAAATTAATAAATGCTTATTACAGCATTTCCCTGTTTCTCTGATCCCTTGATCTTGACACTTTCCTTCAGATGCCTTGGTTTTTGTGGCTGACAGGCTTTTTAGGCTGATTACTGTGTGTATCAGTCTGGTTCCCATGATGCAACCCATGATGCAAGTGTCTGTTAAAAAAAACAACCAAACAAAAAACAAACCAAGGAATCTAGAGGTTTGCAGAATTGGGTGCTCAAGTTAGGAAATGCTAGCATTTGTTTATCCATGCAATCTTAAATTAGGCATAAATCCCTGTTTGGTATATGTTGGCATATGTTGATAAATCTTTAACGATGTGGCTACTTACTATTTTATTAAGTCTCTAGGATGAGTCATACAGGTCAAGGCTATATGATGAGTAAGCACTGTTCCTTTCCTTGTTATTAGGACCTCTCTCTCTGTAGCTGTAGAATTTAGAATATAGGTAGTAAATGAAACACATCATCTCATGATGGAATTTGCTTAGTGGTCCTTGAATGGATTCTAGTTTTGCTTCTTCCAAACTTTGATAATGTGGAAATTTTTTAAAAGTAAACTCTCATTATATACAGTATGTGCAGCACATAGTAAATATGTAGAATTGTTGAGTGCTTTTGCATTCAGTGAGAACCATGCTTTTGGCTGTTTTTCAAACTGTCATCATTTTACTCTCTACAAAGAAGTCCTAAGTATGTAACTTCTTTTCCAGTTCTGATCTTAGCATCAGTTTCGGTAAGTACTATGGAAAAAAGTGTATTTGGTAAATATATGGTAGACACATCAAGGGAACAAATCAAAAAGCATAAAGGATTTCTTGCAATCTTCTGTTTTCTGAAATACATGATCTACTTTCTGCTCGCATGCAGCATCACTAAAACTCTCTCTCAAAAAAAAAAAACACCTCTCGTGATTACCTGGAAGATGTTTGCGTCAATATGCTCACTTGAAAAAAAAAAAAAAATTCTCTCCATCTAAAGAGGATTTTGAGTAAAGAACAGTAAGCTAAAAAAACCTAACTGTGGCTCAGACTATCTTGCTGTCTTACGGTCAGCTCTTATAGTTATACAGTGCTTTCATTTTCCAGTTTTTGGGGAGTGCCAGCTACTGTCTGAAGATAGGGATTTAATTATTGTTTTAAGAAATATTTCCGAAGTATGTTACAGTTTAAATATACTTATAAAGGACTTCTAAGTCAAGAAGTTGAAGGGGTCTTAATGCTAATTATTGAATGTAGCAGAGGCTCAGGCTTTCGCTAGTCAACAGGATTTAACTTTCCAGAAGCACTGAAGATTTCAACTTTGTCAGAATAATCTTAAAATAATACAACTAAATGCAGATACCGTTCATAATTTCCTTTAGTTTCAGAACGCCAGTTGTAAAGGACAACTTTCTACCAGGATGTCAGATTTCTACTCCCTACAGCCAGATCCCACATTTCCTACCACATACTCCAGCAGCACCCTTTCAAAACCAAATTGGCTTGCAGGTAACAATTTTTGGCTGTCTTCTGTCTTTTTTCAGTATGTGCTTTCATTGGAGACTACTTCGGGTTAAATATATGTGTGTATGTATGCATTTTTTTAATGTAAATTTGCTGTTCATCTTTCTGGATGAGTAATGGAAAGTAGTGTGTATTGCTTAGTCTCAGAATAGCTGTTTCTTCAATTGTGTGTCTGAATTGAGGTAAAAAAATTCAGCTCTCAAAAAATCAGTTCAGTTGTGTCAAAATCCTGAAACCTTTATGTCTGAGATCTAAGCCTTTTCAGATCCTACTTCATAAGAGGCAAGAACTAGAGTCATTATTTCTATTTTACAATGCTTCCATAGTGGTACCACACACTACAGTGGAGTACATCGAAAAAGAAGCAGTATGTGTTAGAAACCATAAGATTATGATGGAGATAAAAGAATGAAGAGTTACATTCCTTCTCCATTTTATTAGATTTCACAAATTTTGATGCATTTGTAGTGGCCTGAAATAATGTAAAAATGGATTGCCTTAGATGGGTTGCACATTCAGGCAGGAATACTCCCAAATGTAGACAGAACTGGAGGATAGGCTTAAGCTTCCTACCAGAGGATTAATATTTAAAATTTGTGGCTGGTCTTCAGCTTGGTGTAGCAGGTATAGGCAATACAGGCTGTTTCGGCTTCGCAGCACCAGAGTCTGCCAGCTGGTAGTTAAGTTCAAATAGTACCTGATTTGAGTACAGCTCAAAGTTACAATTGCATGCTGTGACTGAAAGTCTCTTAGTCTAGTTTCCAACATAATCTGTAGACAGGAAGGTGTCTCTAATGATCTGAGAAGCCTTATGAAGAAACCCTTTTTCTTCATTTCCAATGTGAAGAGCACTGGTATCTTTAAGAGTTCAATGATGTTACATGCCAAGTGATGGTCATTATACAACTACTTCTGCTTATAGGTATCTTTAGCTTTCAAGACAAACATACTTAAAGTTTAGCTTTACTACAATTTATCTTGTTCAGAAAGACCAAGACAACTTAAAGCATATTAACTTAATAAAAAGTAGAGCTCTACCAAGTTCCACTGCATGTATACCAAATAGTTATTTTCTTTAACTTTTTCTGTATGCACACAGGTTCCAGCTTCTGTACCTTCACATGAATGCCTTACCATCAAAGGAAGAGTTTATACGATATTAAAGCAAATAGGTAGTGGAGGCTCAAGTAAGGTAAGATGCTCTTTTATCCTTTTAGACAGTCACTCATTTACACAGTAGTAGTTGTATTGTAAACATACATGTTGAAGTCATCTAATAACTGTCTCGTACTAACATGTACAAAGTGTTAAGTTACTGCAGAAGAAACATAGCACACGGGTTAGATTTGGAACAATGCAGTTTCATCTGAGTCTTCAGATAGCCAGCAATAATAACTGAATTAATGTCTTATTATGAAAATGATGCTTCAGTTAGTACAGGATGTTAAGCACACTACTTCTTGCTTTAGTGGAGAAATAAAGTAAAAACGATAGATAAGGGGAGGGGGAGTGTTGAAGTAGAGAATAAACTGTAAACAAATTCTGAATAGATATGTTCAGAACACTGAACAGAAGTTACAGGAATAGGAGAAAGTGATTGCTCAACTCTCGTGAGCATCTAAAAATCTCGCTTAAATCGGTAAACAATGGTGCGAGCCTACTTCTTGGTTTCTGCATGAGGGCCTGAAGGTAGTGCGTGTATGCTCTTGAAGAGAACAATTTCTGTGGTGGAATAAGTATTAAAATTCCTAATAAAATCAGTTCTAAGAGATGTGCTGCAGTTTTACTGTAGATCTTAATTTGAGAGGCTATTGTTTAGGGCAGTGTGATTAGATTATTGGGAAATGTGTGCCTTTTAAGGTTGATTGACAGTTCCTGAAGTGGACAGGCCATCCCTTATTACTGAAGTCTTTGGTAGCTTGTGTGAGGGGCAGTAAGTGTGACTGAAGTGGTGAGTGAGCTGCTTTTTATAAGGAAAATTTGGGTCATAGGGGCTTAGGAAACAGTTTTGGTAAAATCTCTTGTTCTGAAGATAACGAATTGTAACAAAACCAACATAAGCAGTTTTGTGTGAGTTAGATTTCTCTTCTGTCTGCTTTCTTCTGTCTCCCGCACCTCTGCTTCACCCATGTGCTACTGTCTGTGAAGACTGTATAACTAGTCACAGGGACAGCTTAAGAACTTGTGTAAGGGAAATTCGATAAGTGCACGCATAGGTTAATCCTCAGTAACAGCCTATGCAGTACTTCGTCTGCAGCACATGGAAGATGAAGTGGTTACTTCTGGTTAATCTGAGGCATGCAGTGAAATATGAATTGGATACTTAAGCTAAGTTATAGCATAACTATTTAAAACTCTTTTTTAACTTGCCAAAAATTGCCCAGAAAGCTTAGTTAGAACTAGTTTTAGAACTGAGTATCTCTAATCTTACCCTTAAGTTCAGTTCATTAAATCCTCTGGTGTTCTGTTTTAAATGCATGGATTTTCCTGAACAGTCTCGAAGTGCCTGAGATGGTACTTAAGATTGGCCTTGTTTTATAGCTTTTCAGTTTTTTTAATTAAAAATATTTAATAGTTGTTATTTCATCAGTAACTTAATTGGATGAAATATGCTCAAGCTGTCATGTTGCAATTATCATGATCACTTAAAACATGCTTACTCCTCCACAAATCTGAGGAGTGCAGAGGTGCCATCTTACAAAAAGTGACAAGTATTATCAACAGCATGTATACTTCATTGGTTTTCAGGTACCTTATAATCCAGTAAATAGTCACAGAAAACAGGAATAGAATTTTGTGTGTCTAGATTTCAAAACTTTAAACACATTTAATCATATTTATTTAGACATGGCTTATATTTATGACCCTTTGTGCCTACTTTTTATTTTGGTTTCATGTTTGCATATGCAGGAACTGACAGACCGAAGTGGTACTGAGCAGTCAAGCTGTGTGTTTGCTCATGATAAACAGTCCGGCTGTGTCATCAGAGATGGGAAACTGGTTTTAAATGTTGCATATCTTACATGATTCTGCTAATCCAGAGAGTAATAAAATTAAAAGAATAACAGAATGGAATAAGAATATAATATTTGAGGTGGAAGGGACCCACAGCTATCATCTAGTCCAACAGCCTGACCATTTCAGGGCTCACCAAAAGTTAAAGCACGTTATTAAGGGTACTGTCCAAATGCCTCTTAAACACTGACAGGCTTAGGGCATCAACCACCTCCCTAGGAAGCCTGTTCCCGTGCTTGACCACCCTCTCGGTAAAGAAATGCTTCCTAATGTCCAGTCTAAACCAGCTCTGTCACCAGCTTTGTTGCCCTCCTCTGCATGCATTCAAGGACCTTCACATCCTTCTTAAATTGTGGGGCCCAGAACTGCACACAGTACTCAAGGTGAGGCTGCACCAAGGCTGAACACAGCGGGATGATGCCCTCTCTTGACTGGCTGGTTGTGCAGTGTTTGATGCACCCCAGGATGCAGAGATTTGCCCTCCCAGCTGCCAGGGCACACTGCTGGCTCTTGTTGAACCTGCTGTCGACCAGCACCCCCAGATCCCTTTCTGCAGGGCGGCTCTCCAGCCACTCCTCTCCCAGTTTGTACTTGTGCCTTGCATTACTCCATCCCAGGTGCAGAATCCAGTATTTGGACTTACTAAGTTTCATCCCATTGACTGCCCAATGCTCTAATCTATTTCGATCCCACTGCAAGGCCTTTTGTTCCTCAAGAGAATCAACAGCACCTCACAGTTTGGTATAATCAGCAAACTTGCTTATGGTGCATTCAACTCCTTCATCCAGATCGTTGATCAATATGTTGAACAGAACTGGCCCTAGAACTGAACCATGAGGAACGCTGCTGGTGACTGGTTGCCAACCAGATGTAGCCCCGTTCACTACAACCCTTTGAGCTTTGCTGTTCAACCTGTCCTTCACCCAGCACACAATGAACCACATATCTCACAGTTGGACAGCTTGTCTAGAAGGATGCTTGAGGGACAGTATCAAAAGCCTTACTAAAATCAAGAAAAACTACATCCACTGCCTTCCCTTCATACACTAGGCGGGTGACCTTATAGAAGGATATCAGATGGGTTAGGCAGGACTTTCCCTTTGTGAACTCCTGTTGATTGTGCCTACTGATTGCTTTGTCCTTTCACTGCCTTTCAGTAGTACCCTGTATGATCTTGTCTGTAATTTTTCCAGGAACGGAGGTTAGACTAACAGGTCTTCAATTTGCTGGGTTTTCCCTCATGCCCTTCCTGTAAATTGGAATAACGTTGGCTAGCTTCCAGTCAGCAGGGAGCTCCAGGAGGAAAAGCTTCCTATGTTAGCAGCATACAATCGTAGAATGAGGTAGGGTGGGAAGGACCTCTTCATATCACTTGGTCCGATGGTCTGCTTAAAGCAAGGCCAAACTAGAGCAGGCTGTTCGTAGTCTCTTGCTGATGAGTTTTGAGTATCACCAAGGATGGAGATTTCACAGCCTCTCTGGACAGCCTTGTTCCCCTCTTCAACTACATAATGATGGAAAAAGTTTCCTGGTATCTAATTGGAATTTTCGTTGTTGTTAGCTTTGTCTCTTGCCTCTCATACTGTGGTGGTTTGAGAGGAGTCATACCTTCCCTTTAAATAGCTGAAGACAGCAAATAAGATTCCCCGTAGACTTCTCACCTTAAGACTGAATGAACTCAGTGCTCTCAGCCTCTGCTCGTGTGCCATGTGGTCTAACCTCCAAATCTTCTTGGTGTGGCAAAAGGGATGTGCAGTGGCAGGTCAAACCCTTATCTTTGTGGGTGGTGTTATTTTTGCATTGTTTGTTAGGAACACTTCAGACTTGATCATATACACCTAGTGAAATATAACATGGTACCAAGATGGTTTCTGATACAGTTGTTTGTTGTAACTGGTGGCTTCTTTCTTAATTCTTCTTCACGTTGATTTGTATGAACTTCTTTTTAAATTTAGCGTTGCTTCCTTCCTTTTGAAAGGTACATTTTTTTTTTGTTGTTTTATTCTAGCCATGGTGAGATGAAGAACCACAGTAAATCAGAATTAGGATTGAGTGAAGTTATTAACTGATACTATTTTGCAGGTATTTCAAGTACTGAATGAAAAGAAGCAGCTGTATGCTGTCAAATATGTGAATCTAGAGGAAGCTGATCAACAGACTGTTGAGAGCTATAAGAATGAAATTGCTCATTTGAGTAAACTGCAACAACACAGTGATAAGATCATCCGCCTGTATGGCTAGTGAGTAAACATTAATTTTATTAAACCAGTACCTTCTGATATAAAGAAGTTGCCTTAAATTTTAACATAAGTATATTTATTTATTTTTAGTGAAATTACTGATCATCATATCTACATGGTAATGGAGTGCGGAAATATTGATCTCAACAGCTGGCTCAAAAAGAAAAAAAATATTGATCCTTTGGAACGAAAGAGTTACTGGAAAAATATGCTGGAAGCTGTTCACACAATCCATGAATATGGTATTCTTAAATAATTCTAGGTATTTGTGTAGGTTATATGACACAGACAATATGAACGCAGTTAAATTTTGGAGGTGGTATTGCTCTTAGTTTTGGGGTAAGCCTAATGATCTTCAAAGATGGGGTTTTACTGTGTTGTGGAAAAAAAAATTTCAGTGAAACAGAAGAGAAGGGTAAATCGTGATGCAGAGGTAGACTTACTTTGCTAACTCTAAGGGATCTCCAAATATCACCGTTGTATAATGCTTTCTATTTACTTGCAACAGCTGGGGAATAATCTTTTCTGTATTAGGCTACACTGTATACTCCCAATACTGCTTGTTCTCCATTAGGCTCACTTTTCAGGCAGTTATTCTCTGCAAAGAACCCTTGGAATTAATGACAGCTTCTATGCAGTTCTATATTCTTTACCTGGACACAGTGTTTCAGCTTCTTCACGTGGTTCTTCAGGCCTTCCTTTCATCTTTACCTATGTAACTGAAGTGCATGCATCTGTATTCTATTTGGCTGTGTAACATAAAGGAGAGAGCAGATTTGGATCCCCTTCCTGTTTAAGAAAAAAAGTGAAGAGACCTGTACATGTAGCAGAGAGCATCACCTCTTGACAGCACAAGAATGCTGGAACATTCAATAGTATAGAAAGACAGCAAAATTGACTAAAACACAGGCTACATACTGTGTGATGTGTCCTTGAAACAAACAATTTTGCAAAATATGAAGATGGTTTGGTTGATTATATGGGTAGTAACCAAAATTCGTAATAAATCATGTAAGTAGGCTTTGTGAGAGGTCAGTCATATGTAGTCCTCAGTGAATGGTATCTTTGAGATCAGAAAGCAGAAAACATCAGACCAAGCAATATAATTCTTTATTTAAAATATCTGCTTAGCTAATTATTGAAGATAAAACCACAGGAGTGGACAAGCCATTGAACTGGTCCAGAGCAGCAGTTCAGCATTGCAGTGTGCTCATACAGTTAGAGGGTCTATCCCTAAGTGGGAGAAAACATGCAACTCAAATCTCTTGGAGCTATTTTGGGGTGCTTGCAGATTTGAATAATTAACAGTTCAAACTGTAAACTCATGCAAGTCTTAACTGTTGAAAAAGAAATGGAAACACTTCTATGAAATGTGCAAATAATAACTTGGCTTTGGCCAGGTAAAGCTGATCTGCACCTTCTCTCTGTGCAAGGGTTGTGGGAATTGAGCAATAAAACCCCCGTACTTCAGTAGTAACTTGGATTGACTAAACCTGGATTGACTTTAAACTCTGTTTTACAGGCATTATTCACAGTGATCTGAAACCAGCAAACTTTCTGATAGTTGATGGAATGTTAAAATTAATTGACTTTGGCATTGCAAACCAAATGCAGCCTGATGTGACAAGCATCATTAAAGATTCTCAGGTGAAATACTCCTGGAAAATTGGCGTACACTTTTCTGTCAAGTGCTGTAATACTTGCTGATTATATTGGTTAATGTAGTAACTTCAGAGAATACTGAAATTTTATGCAGAATGGTTTTATATGTGTATAGATATTCGTATGTATCAATTTTTAGATGTTTTTATTGAACAGAATAGCAATGGCCTTCAGCCTTAATAGAAACAAATTTTCAAGATGCTTTTCAGTGCTTTGAGATAAAAATCTAACTGGAGCTGAACTATGGCTTCCCACTTTGGGGACATAGCTGTGATGTCTCACTGGTTTCTGTATTGAATTAATTTAGTATATATCAAGTCAGTTAAACTAAGTGCATGCTTCACTTAAAGGAATATTTTTACATTTCTGGCTAGGTTGGCACAATGAATTATATGCCACCCGAAGCAATAAAAGATATGTCTTCCTATGGAGAAAATGGGAAATCTCGATCTAAGGTAACATAATCTTTTTTCACCTGTTCCCTTCACGTTAAGTAGTAATTCAGGCATGTGTTAAAACTTAGTTTTCTCAAAACCTTCCACTGAAACTAGAACACAAGGAAATCTATTGTGCCACGATGGTGGTGGGCAGAGATTGAAGGTTAAGGTTATTCTTCTCAACTACCTAAAAGCATTTTGCAGATGGTGTTTAAAAAAAATGTAAGTGCTGAATTTAATGAGTACAATTGAAAGCAAAACAGATGCACAGGCTTGGGCTTTGGAGGAGCTGCTAATAATAATAATATAGTGATAGTATCTAAACTTATAATAAACATTAAAAAATTTGAAATCCCTTTTTATGGAGCACTGTTCTGCTACGTTAGCAGTGTGAATGGCATTGAACAGCAATATAGAGTACAGTGAAATGCATGCAGCCTTTCACATATCGGAGGCTGTACTGATGGCTAATGTTACAGAAGTCTTTTGAGCGTGTTAAGGGTCCACCATGCTGTGCATCTCTCACCAGTCCTCCTTCGCACTGAAACCACTCCAGGCTAGAGCTTGCAGAGGATGTTTCTGGGAGGATCTTTCATGGAGTTGAGAGAGAATCATTCCTCAGTTGCTTCTTGGTTGCCTATTGTGCTGCTTATGCCCTTGTGTTTTGTTCTGCCAAAAATTGGTGGAGCTCTTATGGTACTGTTAGCTGCTATGCAGCTACATTTTACCATTCTGCTTAAATAACTCTGGGTTAGGAAATTTGCTTTCTAATACAAACCATTGTTAGTATGTTTGCTTAAACAAGAAGATATGATGATGCTTGTATCATTGTCCTATTTTTGAATTCTTGTAAGTGAAAGGCAGGTTTTGTAAGAAATGAGTGATAACGTAATAAGGTATTTTAAAAGATGGTACGATGAGGTCTCGTGTTTTAGGGGACACATGGATGACTTCTGTGTATCCTATTAATTTTTCTGTGCTGCAGAGTACTGTGTATTGTAGAACTTCTTATAACTTCACTGGGGTAATGGAATGTGTATTATAAGGAAGGTACTGAAGGAAAGCAATTTCACACTGGTAGTCAACTTCAGTTAAGGAGTAAACAGTTTTGTGGAAAGGTATTAAAAATAATTCATATTCATGTGTGCATAACACTCAAAGATTGTGACTTTTTAACAGTTGAATGGAAGTAGTACTATGCAACGAAACACAGTCTTTCTAAACAGAATAGAATGTTTTATAGATGGATTTCTTTTGTTAAGGATGATACTTTTTACCTTTTAAAGTTTCATCTTTACGTTTTTAAAACTTGCATGCGAAGAGCAGACTTGTTCTGGAGCTCAGCTCATCTAAGCAAAAAATCTAAGCATTGTGCTGGGAGTCAGGCTCTCTGTGTGCCTCTTTCCCCACTGTTCTCCTCTCTTCTGCTCCCTCAACCTTAGGTGCTTTTCCTAAAGTGCTTCAGCTTCAACAGGAGAAGTAGAACCTCCTCCTGTAAGGAACAGCCCAGGTGTGGTGGCTGAAATTTGGACCCGAGTCCGTTAAACCCAGAGGAGCTGAACTATGGCTTCCCACTTTGGGGACATAGCTGTGATGTCTCACTGATTTCTGTATTGAATTGATTTAGTATGCTTTTATTTGTGTTTACACATAAATCTGAAATTAGAATCCTGCTGTTCAACTTGTTAAGGACTACCTTTAATTTTAAGTTAGTTGTTCAAGTAAGTTGATTTTCAAAGATAATTAATAAAAATAGCTTCCGTATGGAGTATTACTGAATGAAACCTCAATACTGTCTTAATAGATAATGGTGTGTTGTCTTGGTGGTTATGTGGTAGTTACTAAGATCTGTTATCCAGTGTGAAACAGATATATTGTTAAGTGAAACGACTATACAATCATATGATAAATTGACTGAAGGGACAGTTCCTTAAGTGAGGAGTAATCTTAGTTTTTTTTATTCTTATACTAGATAAGTCCCAAAAGTGATGTGTGGTCATTGGGATGCATTTTGTACTGTATGACATATGGAAGGACTCCATTTCAACATATAACAAATCCAATTAATAAACTGCATGCTATCGTTGATCCTAGTTATGAAATAGAATTTCCAGATACTCCCGAGAAGGATCTTCAAGATGTGCTGAAGGTAATTGGTCCTTAAGATTAACTTTGATTCAAATAATGGCAACTTCTTTATTTAAAGCTGATTTTCTTAAACTGAATGAGTTGTGCTTGAGAAGCTTTTTTCACAAATAAATGCTCACTGCTACTTGCAGTAACAGGCCTTATTCCAAAAGAAGACTTTATGAAGCTAGAGCTGCTTCCTATAGTTTCCATAGTAAAAGTCTATTTTCAGCTCAATAGCAAATAAACAAGTAAATACTTAAAGCATTCTGGCTTAACTCCTTTGGCTGAACAACCCAAAGTAAATACAGTCGCTTTTGTACTCACTATACCTTTCCCTTACTGTGCATATTTGCCTGCTTTTGAAACAGGGCCTATGCTTTAACTTCAGCCTTAATTGTGTTGCTCAGCAGGTAACAAACTGAATTTCAGAAACACTTATCGCCTTAATTTTCAAATCTCTGTGTCATTTTGTGTCATTCAGAATAAAAGGATATTGTAGGTTCTGGTCTGCACCTCTTCTGACATTGTTGCTTGAGTAAAACAGGATACCGAGCTTTACCCTGAAGAGAATTGCTAATAAAGGCAATTAGGTTAATCTGTTAAGAGTGGAGTCTTTTTGAGTATGTAGTTTAGCAGTAAGAAGTTCTGACATGCATCTACAACATCTTTTACAGATCCTTACTTAATTCTTAGGAAAATTCTTAATTTATAGGCAGAGCATTCTTCTGCTTTCCATGGATAACCATGACGCTCTATTTTTAATTTGCAGCGCTGTTTAATAAGAAATCCTAAACAAAGAATATCTGTTTCGGAGTTGCTGATACATCCCTATGTTCAAATTCAAAGTCATTGTCAAACAGGTACTTTTATTTTAAATAACATTTTTATTAAATAATTTTTATAGTTCTGTTTAAGAAAACAAAAGGCTTTAAGTACTTTCCACTTGCTGGTGTAACAACGTATTTCGTTTGGTCCCTGTGTATGTTTCAGAGAAGACCTCAGTATTTTAATTCTTGAACTATTCATTTCAGAACTGACTTTTTGTATACCTCATACAAACTGCACTGGTAATTTTATACAAAGTTGTATACAACTTGAGCATAATTATACATTAACTGCAGGTGTTCCAAATGCAAAAGGAACAACGGAGGAAATGAAACGTATCCTTGGCCAGCTTGTTGGCTTGAATTCTCCCAACTCTATTTCTAGAGCTGCTAGGGTAAGTAAATTTTCTTTTCTATTTTGTATGGTAGTACGTGTTCATGCAAACAAAGGTTAGAATGTTTGGTAGTGAAAGCTGAAAGGAGATTATCCTTTTAACAATATTGTGAGGTGGCTATGTTTGTGGCCACTGGTTTTCCTATCTCATGTAAAGTTTGCTCGCCCAGAGTTATAGAAATACATCTCTCCTTCCATGCTGGTCACAGACAATTAATTGAGTAAACTTGATTTTAAATCTTGGTAATTAGTTTGTTCTCTGCCAGCTTGTGAAGCTCTATACCTTTGCTCATGCTGTTAAGCCAGTGTATGTGTTTTCTTTTAGGCACTACATTGCATTACAACTGGTACAGCTATGCTGTCTTAAATGTGTATGTTTATCTTCTGATTTGAGAGAGCAAATGTAGTATGGAGCTTGGAATATTTCAATATGTGATGACTTATTTCAAGTGGTAATGTTTGTTATAAAGATATAGTTTGAATCCATGTGATGCAACTGTGTTCACCTGAATACCTGTGTTTTTATTAACTTTCAGACTTTATATGAACAGTGCAACAGTGGTAAAAGTCTTGATGTATCAGCATTTGCAAAACTTGGGAGTCAAAAACCATGGACAACGAAATGATGTACTGCTGTTCAGGATGCAACAGATGTCTGGTCTGTTCAAAAAATGTTTTGTGCTGCTAGCTTTTAAAAGGACACTCGGCATGAAGTTCACGTTTTTAAATGTTCTTTGTGTCTTCTGATAATGCTTGCAGATCATTAAAAAGAATTTAATTGCGTGATTTTCACTGTGGGCTTTTTCACTCTTTGCATGCCAGTTGGACTGAAGGATGGAAATTGCTAGTTGGTGATTATGGTCTCTGTTACTTGCAAAGCACTATGGTGTTTGGAGTAAAAAACTTGTAGGAGAATCTTCAACCTCCTTTACTGCCCTGAAGCTAAAAAAAAGGTTCCTAAAATGCCAATTGGTGTACATGAAAAACATGCAAATATCTCTTGAAATACATCCTGTGACATGAAAGCAGAGTATTACGCTGCTCTGTGCTTTCCCAACAACAGGTCTTGTGTCCAGTTTTGATCATAACTAAGGAAATAAGCACTCCGTGTATATAAATGAGCAGTTACAATACTGGTGGAGACATGTAAATGTCACCCAGTTCTCGAGCTGTTGCTGTGGTTGTGATATGGTGGAAGCATCCGTACTGTTCTGAAGAGTTACGTGAATAAAATAGCTTTTGTTCTATTAAAAACACTATTAATCCAATATGCTTCTCAAATTTCTAAATAGTAGAAAACCCATCAACAATCATGATCAGAAGTCACTAATTTGGATTTTTAAAAGCATTAATACTAAGCACTCTTTAAAATGCACTAAATGTAGCAGGACTGTTTTAAAATGGTTGTTAGTGGATTGGTCAGGCTTTAACTGAGTTATTTCTGGTGCAAGTGTATGAATTTTAAATTTACTTAAATAATTGAAAGAAGTTAAAATAATATTTTTATAGTTTTAAATTAAAAAAAAAAAACCCTAATAAAGTTGCCTTCGGTTTCAGACAGCTGCCATGCTGTCCTTGGATACCTTCTAAAATGTGGAGCTTGTATGCTCTTTGTCTTGATCAAACATTTTGAGTTAGTCTGTTTTGCCTGTATTTCCTTCGTAACAGCCCTGCATATAAAGATTCCAACTTCATTATTGAAGTGGCTCTTGCCTTTGTTTATGAATTAAGAGCATGCCATACTCCTCGATCAGTGATGGAAAAAGTTGAAGGCCAGGACTAGGGAAGCCTTCCTTGACAATTTCTGCATGTTAGCTTAGCAAGTTCATGTTTTCTTAGCTTCAGAAATAGTTTAAAGTCTTTGATAGCTTTTCTGTTTCGTGTTTAAATCTGTATAACTTATATTGGGAAAAGATGTTGTAATGTAATGCTTCACAAAGGCCTAAGTTGAGGGAGGTTTGTCTTTCATTGTAAGCATATACTTAAATATTCACTTTCAAAATACTCAGAAGGGGGGGAATGAACTTATCTTATACCTCTATGAATAGGCATATTGTACTGTGTGCTCTGTTCTACTTTCCCTTAGTGTTTATAGAGGATCACTCTTTATTGACAAATTCAGTTAAAGAAAATGTGTTACCTTTTATCCCTGGAAGACACAGCTATTTCTGCAGTGATCCAGATGCAGAGTGACAGCTGTACTGTGCATGGGTTCTTCAGCTCACAACAGAACCTTTTTCCATACTTGCACACCGAGCTTTATTGGTATCGCTTATAGCACTGTCATAATCTCTTGATCTGAAGTTAATAGCAAAGAAAAGAGATAGCGAGTTGTGAAATACCTACCTCAGCAGCAATATTGGAGGAGAGGCCTTATTTCAATGTGATTTTGCTATCTTTCCTGCCATTGACTTATCAATATTTTGATGACTTTATAGCCCTAATAAGAACTGAAGAATGGGAGAGAAGAATAGCACACACTTTGACCTTGAGTGATACTTTAGAGTTTCACGTATTATATTTTTTTTCCCAAACTTCAGTGGCTTTGATTTTTAAATAAGATTTTCAAAGCTTGCTAACGTAATAAAAGCACCTCTTGATAGGTGGGAAACTTAGGTGGGTTGTCTTAGTTCTGCTCTGGGAGGAGGGCTGAAGGGGGGGCAGAGAATGTGTGCTCACCCCAGTGATGGGGCACATGCAGGAACAGCACATCTCCCTTCCTCTGAGAGCAAACCTGGAATGATAAACTTAACTTTGTTGTTGACCTAATTGTTATTATGTGTAATAGATTGTGGAGTCTCAGTGAGTCATCTGCAGGGGCAGGGGGGAGCTATCCCGTGTTTCTAGGGAAAAAAAGCTGAAGACTTGTTCCCTGTAATGGTCCTTTTCTTCATGTTTTGGTGTTTGTTTGTTTTTTTTTTTTTTTTAATCCCAGTCTTTAGTAATCTTGTGGAAGTTCAGTGGTATTTCAAGCATAATGAATACATATGCTAATTGTACCCTGCTTATCTGTTATAGAAATGTTAGTTATGAATCTTGAAGCTACTGAAGAAAAAACATTAACATTCTGCACCTTTCATATTCTAGACAGTTTGGGAGACTCCTTATGGCATGGGAACTGGAACACTATCTCTGGCTTTCTCTGAAGACAAAAAAAAATTGTCAGCCTCTTTAGAGGAAAATCTGTGAAGAAAATATTTACAGAAACATCTTTTTGTGAAGAGTTATTATTGAAATGTCTCCCAACTACTTGTTTAGATTACAGATCTGGAAATATTTCTGCATAAGTATTCTACTGTTCTAATTGTTAGCTTTTACTGATTTGTTTATCTGCTACTTAGTGTTGAATATTCAAAGAAGCAGTGCTACATGTCTTGTTTTTTTTCTTTTGTGTGGTTTATCAATCCTTTCTCTCATTCCATGACTGCTAAAGAACCCACAGCAAATAGAGCTGGCATGAGAGGGAGGTTATGAAAGAAGACTGAGGCTGATAAGAGGCAGTGGGTTTTTATCAGTCATCCCTTTTAAATAAAAAATTTCCATTGCAAATGTGCAATTAATTTGTACTCCTTCCCTGCCTCAATGGCATGCTACAAGAGACCTGCCTACCTTACAGCTGCCACTCACTGGCCCTCAGTCCACTCTATTGGGTGTTTTTTTTTTTTTTTTGCTTTACAGACACCTGTCTCCTCTTTCAGATTCTGTTGGGATCTTAAAAATGTGTCTCCTCTTTCAGATTCTGTTGGGATCTTAAAAATGTGTATGAAGTGCAGACTAGCTATGCATGATGAGCTATGCATGATTAGCTTTAAAGGACAGAAAACACCAGTCTTAAATGTTGAGTAACAGAGGTTGCTGCCTGAAGCTTTCTCAAGATTACAAAATGCCCATTGTGGGTTATTGTTACCCTCAAGGCTGCAGTTCAGGATGTTGTGTATATATAAAATGGGAAGAGAAGATGGCTGAGCATGTCTGTGTGCAATCAGTGTTACTGGATGCATGTATAGTATACTGCTATATCAGCTAATATTGAGATACCACAACTACATGAAGAGTAGAAAGGTAAATGAGAACACTTCAGTAAGTTCCCTTCAGTAATTCATGTTTGAAAAATGGATTTGGAAACTTACAACCTTTAAATCTGATACTGTGGTGCAAAATACCTTTACTCAGCAGCTAACAGTAAGAAAAGCCTAACTGCAGAGGGTGTCTTCCTTTTTTGTTTATGGATGGGTATGACGCTACTGGGCCTGAACAGCTGTATGTATAACTGGAGCTCAGAGGACTAAATGGAGTTGAAGTTTTGAAGGCTCTGCTCATATAGTCTGTCTTAATGCCCCAGTGCCCAGAACTGAGTCCTTGACAAGTATAAGAAGCGGAGGCTGTTCTCTTGCGTAACTCCCTGCTCTCAGGACATTTGTCCAAGGACCAAGACAAGGCTGTCCCCATGGCCCTGGAGAGTCAGTCTCCTGCGTCTCATCTGGCTTTGCTGAAGGCACTCTTCAGCTCCTGCTGCCAAACATGTAGCTGGGTAGGAAGGGAATGGTTAAATCCCAAACAGTAGAGAGTGCAGAGCAAGGTGTGAGTTAGTCTCAAGGTAAGTGGTCAAATTGTCACTCTGTTGGTCCTTCCTGTGGGTTTCTGTTCCTTCTTTAAGCACCTCATAGTGGTTTCATGCTAAACAGAGAACTAATTCTGGGAGTGGTGAGAAGTATCAAATTAAAAATTAAACAGTTGAAGTAAACTTGAGTTCCAGCCCACCTCTGAAGCCTAGCTTACTCCTGAGCTCCTCAGCAAAGATTGCAGGCTGATCCTTGCAGGTGTCAGCTATAGCGAGTCAGAGCTGAAAACTATTTGCTGCTTCCTTCCCATTGCCTGCACTCATGTATTGCCCTGCTGCTCCCTAACAGTTTGCGTGAGTTCTCAGCAGCAAGGGTAAAACAATTACTGCTTTTTATCATATTTGTATCTTAGACACTCTTTTCTGACTACGACACATCCTGTTTCAGCTAAGTATTAACAGCTAATACAAAAGTATTCCCTTTGTACTCAATGCATAGATATGTCATGCCTCCCAACTCTGTTATCCGTGCCCACCTGCCAAGAGCACAAAGCCTGTCTGTCTGTCAGTCAGCTTGCAGAGTATGCCCTTCTTTATTCACTGCTCCAAATAAAGTAATTAAGAGATCAGTCGTCTTGCAAGATAAAGGCTGTGGAGAAGGGAGCAGGCAGTGTGGTGTGATTGCCTGTAGGATATGGAGGTGTACGCCTGTATGGAAACAGCAGGAGCCTTTGTGCAGCCTGCCCATAAACTTTCATGGGAGTTGCTGAAATGAAACCTGAGATAAACATCTGACTCTTCACCTCAATTCCTCCCCTCGGCAGGTGGAATATCCACAGCTAAACAGTGATGCAATTCCAAGATGCCAGCTCTAATCAGATAAATTGCTAAAATCCAGGCAGGTTTTGCAATGAAAGAGATGACTAATTCAATAAGGAAAAGTGCTGCTGTTTCTGAACCCTTCATAAACACAAGGAAAAGGTCAATCTTTAAACAGGGTCAGCCTGTTGGTCTTGACTCTTGCCTTAGTGTAAAGATCTCTGGCTTGTCTCTGTACCCACTTCA